ACTCACGCATATTATTTCTTTTATTAAATATCCTTTATTATGTGCCAATGTTTGGATTTGACATTCCACAGAGCAACAATACATCCCTAGCATAGATCACCACAATGCCCCCAATCCTAGCTCTGTGCATGGCACGGAGATAGCACTCCAGAAGTATTTGTCAAAGGACTATTAAATTGAACAAGTGCATGAGTGAATGAATACATAAATAAATGAATGAGTGAACAGACTACCAACTGGGATGATGAAATCCAGAAATTTTAGCTGGTTATAGCAAAAGTCTGATCTCTGGTGACATGTCTAATTTTCTATACTCCTGAAATGTTGGTTCCAAATGGGAGAATGATTCCAAAGAAAGATGAAAAATAAAAAGTCTGTGATTACAGCATCAGAGAATTGGCCATTCATGAATCCAAAATGATGAGCAATATAGATTTATATATTTGTATTCCCAAATTTAAAAGCTTTGAGCAATAAGAGGCTGCTTTTGGGATAAGACTCTCCCTCAGAACAATAAAATCATAGGTGTTTTTTTAAGTGCTTCAATCCTGGGGGAAAAAATGATTTAGTTAAAATTTTTTAAATGTCTTGACAAGATACCGGACAATTGAAGTCCAGCCATTTTATGTATCAGTCACTCTGCATCCTTTCTAAAAATGTGTGTGGAGGTGGGTGTGGGTTCAGATGGCCTGGCAATAAGTGACCTATATAAACACACAAATAGCACAAGATTTAAGGGACCAAAGCACACTCAAATGTGAGTTGAGAAACATCACTCTTTTGCTGGATAATGCAGATTTGCATAGCCTTCTGCCAAGGAAATTGCATGTTACCTGCATAGAGAATCATGTGAGCCTCAAGCACATGTCAGAATTACTCTAGGGTCTCTTGAAATTATAGGCTGGTTTGCAATGTGTGGTTCTTGTGGCTGCCAGACAACATCAGGCAATTGTTTGAAATGGGCCAGCATCACAGAGCTTCCTGATAAATCTGGTTGCCGTTCACTAGGAAAAAGAATGCCAGTGAACAAATGGAGTGGCACAAAAAGATGTATGAATCTGATAAAAAAAAAAACTGCATTCAATCTGGTATCTCTTGACTGGCCCCTTGAATGTTTCACATATTTAAATCATCTAAGTTGTGGAAGTGCCATCATACTAGACACAGAGGTTAAGATCACCCCTGGATAGGATATGGAATACAAATCATATATGAAGATGAAAAAAAATTAGATAAACATGCTAGGGGTGGAGAAGTGATAGATTTCTTCTTTGCACCAGAGAGTGAGCAAATGCACTCTTTTTATTGCCATTTCACACAACGACATTTGTGCCTAAGGTGTAAAGAAAGAAAAAGTAATCGCTCCTTGAAAGTGAACGTGGAGCCCACGTTGAGCACATTAGGGCCTCACAATAATAATTCCTTTCCTCCCAAAAAAGTTCACCTGCAGAACCGCTGGCTAACCAGGGCCAACAGCAAGTCCTCAGGGACCCAACTGGTGACAACTAAGGCTGTTGGAGTCCAACAAAAGAAACGGTGAGCTTCGTTAAAATCCCTCTTCCGCTCCTTGTCTCTTATGCTCATTTACTCAAATACTTACATATTTGAGTTAGACCCTGCGGAGGATGCACCGATGACTCAGACAGCCGAGAGGCATCATACCTAGCGCAACGCGCCCATCAATAAAGTACTGATGGACTCAAGAAAGCGCCACCTCATGTCACTACGCCTTTACTGGGCATTAAGTCAAGAGAGACACTCATTTGGAATTCTTTTAGAACTGCCCCAAACCAGGCTGACTCCTTAGAATCCGGATGGTCTCAGAAATATTTTATATGTGTATATAGATGTAAGCCCATTACAGCACTAGTCCGCACCGCTAATTTATATTTGGTTCTCAGCCAATCAGGACTAAGAGCCACCCCCCCAGTCATTTATGTACTGCAGCCCATCCTCTTTGTGCCATTACGTGTCCACGATGGCTGACGAAGGGTGTGCAAGGGATGATGCCGACGAGTCTGCAGAGGACCGAGGAAGATTCTGAACGGTAGCAAGCAGGCGGCACTGTAACAGCCCCGAATGTCCCCGAGGGGATGTCCTAAGAAACTCAGAGCAGCAGACAGGTGCTGCCTCGTGGAAATTCTTTTGACATTTTAAAGGGCAGAATAAGCCTCTCTGAGAACCAGAAAGACTGACCCTCACCTGCCTTAAGGATAAACTGCAGAAATCTATAGCCAGAGGCATATAACAACTTCAGGAAACTGGAAGAGAAAAAAGGGCAATCGCCAAAACGCGTCTCCGAGACATCACGCTGCGACTGCCATGTATGGTTCCAATTTCGTTAACATGGTCATTCACAGGAACAGGTTCCCGTAATAAACGGGCTATGCAGGGAGTTTAAACTAAGGCTGGAGGTGAAAGAGGAACCGAAAACACTTCTATTTCAGATGGTCTCCTGACGTGACCTCCTGGGAGGTTGTTTGGGGAAGCTGACTTTTTGTAGCAACAGCAGTTCTTGAAGGCGATGTGTAACCAGAGATCTAATAAAAGAACAAGAGTCACTTTTGTTCAGCTCAGAAGAAAACCTACCGAGTGATTTTGATCACCTTTCATTCCCGCAAATAAAGTTTGCCTGATTGATCAACGTCATATTCACAACTTTGGGATGGAGAAGGAGATAAACCTACAAAGAAATACTGAAACATAATTTAAGTACTGAAAATGATGATTTCCTGGGCAGGGAAGCATTAGGGCACCATGGTTAAAAGTGGGGGGCTTTGGGATCTGGTAGTCCTGGGGCCAAATCACGGTTCCATTGTTTGCCAGCTGATGAAGTTATACTGTCTCTCTAGCCACAAGTTTCTCATCTGCAAAAGAGTTAATAATTGCAGTTCCTTACAGAGATTTTGTGAGGACTAACTAAGGCAATGCATATCGAGTGCCTACTTCATCACCAAGTAAGTGTAGATTTGGGGATTTCTCGTGCATTTTTTCCCCCAAACTGCTTTACATTATTAGCTCTCCAGATGAGAGGGTAGAGCTGCGTCACTGACCTGAGCCATTCCTCACCATGACCCAGACAGATCTGGAGGGAAGGAGCAGCGAGGCCACACAGCCCCCCTCTGGGCTCCAGAGCCTCCTCCTGAGGCGTTTGGGAGGGTCAAAGGGCACCGTATGGCAATGCTGTAATGTTCCTCATTTGGATAACACACTCTCTACTAGCCAGATTGTCCGAGTCACCATCCCAGGCCCCAAAATCTCCAGTCGTTGCTGCTCATTTGTTCGATGTCGATTGTTCGAGCATAGTTGCTTGAACATAGGATGTTTGGACAAAAGTTCTGGCACATCAAGAAAGTTCTCTTCTTCCCCCATGATATATTCTCCCTTGTTGACCTGGGTCAGTCTCAGTGCGCTGTTATTGTGAAAATGACTCCAAAATCTAAATGTTTGGCTTTGGCCTTTTTCCAGCTTCTGTGTACCTGCTAGGCATCTTCACGTGGGCCTACCAGCATCTCATACTCAAGTCCAAAACCAAATGTCTATTCACCACTGCCATCCAGTATGTGCCACAAAGTCACCTCTGAGTTAGTGGCACCACTGGCCTTTCTCTGCTGTCCAGGTAAAGGGCATCATCTGGTTACTCCTTTTCCATTGGCTCCTGATATCCCATAATCAAATCTATCCACTTTATCTCTTCCATAATTCTTTCAGGTATCTCTTCTCTTCCATTTCTACCTTCTATGAACCTTTTACCCAGATTGGCATATTCAACAAATAATGACTGAGCATTTACCATAAGCCAGGTGCAGCTCTAAGCTGTGAGCTCTCACTTTGGGGACACAGACAGGAGCAAGCTAGACAAGGTCCTTGCCCTCATGGGACTTCTGTTCTAGGCAAGGAACACAGATCTGATACAAATAAACCAGGGAACAAGAAAATTTCAAACAGTTATATGGGCTGTGAAGAAAATAGAACCAGGTGATGTGCAAAGGATGCCTCAGGCTGGGGACGGGAGACAAAGAGAAGAGGGTGGGGCGGTACAGGTTGGGACTCTTTGAGGAAGTGATATCTGAGCTGAGGCAAGAAGCCAGCCAGGTGAAATTCTAGGCACAGCAGATTCTAGGTAGATGCAATGGCAAGAACAAAGTCTCGTTCAAAGAACAGAGGTTCAAGGTCGGACTCAGCTTGGCTTGTTCAAGGTACCCGGACAGCCAGCAAGTTGGAGCCCAATGGGCGGAAGTAAGAGTGTAGGAGCCGAGAAGCAGACCCCGGGGGCGAACTGTGGGAGGCCTCATGCACCCGGGTGGGGGTGTAGATTCCATTCTTGGTATAATGGGAAGTCATTGGTGGGTTTAAAGTTAGATGTGACATGTTCTGCTTTACCTGTTTTTTAAGTTGTTTTTGGCTGCTGTGGGGATAAAGGACTGTAGGGCAGCAAGATCAGTTGTAGGGCAATCGAGGAGGAGAACATTACAGGAATCCCGTGGATAGATGCTGGTGGCTCAGATTAGGTTTAAGGGAGGATAAATGAGGAAAAACCGGGGAGGACTTGCAGGCATTATGGAGGTACTGGTGGCAGTATCACTACGTGGATCTGCTCACGTTCTCCCTGCCAAGCTTTTTCATCTCAGTCCATTCAACACAAATCTGACAGCATCATCTTTCTAAGGATGCCCCTCTTTGCCCAGATATTAATTGGCTCCCCATCGTTTATGGAATAAAGTGCAAAGTCCTTGGTAGGGATTCAAAGCCCTACGTTAGCTAGCCTCAACTGATTTAGAGATACATACAAAGGAGCTTATAAGGAGTGGAAAAGGACTCACAAAGCAGTTCAAAGGGTCAGAAATAAGTCATTTCATAAAAAGGGCTATTCACAGAAAAGTGGTGGGATTTTGATATGTGAAGAACCAGCACTCATAGCTCTTTAACTGCTCTTAATTGAGAAGTTTTCTGCCTTAAAGAAAGAGCCACAACATATCAACCAGTGGTTATGCTTTTACTCCCAAGAGAAGAAATGAAGAAGTTCTAGGAAGAAGAAGAAATTAACTAACCCCTTAGAACACAAATAAATACATAAACAGATTGATTTTTGTTAAGATCCTTGATTTCATCCATTCCCCCTGAAAAATAATATCCAATCACAATGCAATTGAACTAATACTGCACAACAAAATTTAATGGTCCAGATAACTGTAAAAAGAACTCAGAATAAAATCATGCTTCTTGAACATATGATTTCCTTTTCTCTCCACCTGAAACAAACATTTCTTGGAATTTGGAAATTCTTGTCAGGGTGATTAAACCAGACAGAGAAGTCCTTAGGGTCAGGCCAGAGTAATAGAAGAGGGCAGCGGTTCCTCAGTCTCTGCATGGCCTTGAAAAAGAGAAATTCGAAGTTACCCTGAGTAGCCCTGTTCACTTACCCAGGATCACCAAGTGAGTCTAAGTTTCAGCTGCTTGTTTCTTCTTACTTGCTAAGTCTCAAGCTCCCAGACAAAGTTGACAGTGAGGTCCCTCTTGGGTCCACTACCCCACTGTGTCCTGCCAAGCCAGTGGGGATAATGACCACTTCTCTCTGTGATGTCAAGAAGTACAAACCCAGCTCTATGTTCACATTAGTTATTAATTATTTATTCTTAATTGTTTAAAAGAAAAAAATTAATTCTTTTATAGAATAGGTGATAAGGAAATTCACTTTGTTGGGCATATTCTATCTGCCAGGCATTGCTCTGGGTGTTAGGGATATAGCAGTGAACCCAAACTAGCTAAGACCCTTTCTTCATGGAGCTTACATTCTACAAAATGAACAAATAAAATGTCAGATGTCAGACGGTTTTAAGTCCAATGGTGAGAAATATAGTAGGGTGAAGACACCGATTACTCTTGCAGGGAAGGGGCATTAGTAACAAACAGGACAGAGGGACAAGGATAGAGGTGGGATAAATGTGTTCTTTAGTAGTTTAAGCTTAAAAGGCTTTTTCCTGGCAGGTGAACTATAGCAAGGAAAGACATTCAACAATCAATAGTAATGATAATTACCATCTATTATTATATTTATAGTGACTGTCACTGTGCTAAGTAAGCATTTTTCATTTTTATTTTTCACAATAAACTGATGCACATTATTAATGTGATACTTTAAGGTGCAAAGGAAATTCCAGGAAAGGATGGGAGGGAGGGAGGGAACAAGGGAAGAAAAGAAAGAAGAAAAAAGAAAGAAACCAGATAAGTTCAGCAGCTTACCTAGTTGACCCTACTCATACGCACAGAACAATAGACAGTACATCTGGATGCAGTCTGACCCCAAACTCTGCCCTCTTACCCAGCACTGCACTGGGGTACAGAGAGCAAAGCCATAGACTCTGCCTTGGAATTGCTCATAGTCTAGTAAGAGAGAATCATAAACAAATAATTCCAGTAGAGTGAGAGGAGCTATAACTGAGGTATAGTGGAGTTAAGGAGACAAGTGACTAAGTACCTGAGGGCGGGGGTGGCATCAAAATGCAGACATATTCGTTTGCATTTATACAATTCGTTGCTCTCTCTGGGCCCGATTACCCACAATGAATCTGCAGCTCCTTGCAAAGCCTCTTTCCGCTGGATTTCCCCATTCTGTCTTCACCGGCCGCAGTTTGTCAGCCTCTTCCTGTACACAGGGACCACATGAAGTCTTTAGAGCCATTCTGGGGAAGGAGGACAAATAACAAGACAGTAATGTACCTTAAGCATGCCCAGAAAAAGATGAGGAATGCGACAACCAGGTGATTTAAAAGAAGACGACTGTACTGTGTTACAATGGGAGAGGAAAGGGGGAGATGCTGCTACCTGCCTGAAGGGGATCCCCAAGGCTGCACACACGGTGCCAGCGGCTGACAATAGTCACTTGGGAAAACTGCATTTCATCAAGTCCTCATTATCTAGCATGATTTGCTTTAAACATTCAGTTCTTGATCTAGTTCCATGGATGGACTTCACAAAATTCATGAATCCCCAGAAAGTGTGTATGAATCTCCATGTATCTGCTGTGCATTTTCTCGAGATTCCAGAGTTCATGGAAATTTCAAAACAGTATGTGTTCCCCAAGTAGGTTAAGAGCTACACATTGAACACTTTCAGAGAAGACATTCCAATAGATTTAAATATGTAGAGAGTCCGGCATACTTTACAAGGCCCAAAAAGTCTAAGCAAATGTTTCAATATCATTGTTATTCAGCATACTTATCAAAATGCTTGCAAATTAGTGGCACAGCCGGGTCCCTGCCCATGAATATAAGGCCTTAACACAACTTCAGGATTCGCCTTTGATTCTTTTGTACATAGCTGACCTTCATCTTCCTTGTGTGTGATGAGGATTAAGCTGTAGCTCAGTATTGTCCTCAGTCTTGTATGTTTGTGATGGGGGGCAAGGGAGATGAATGTTTGGTTGAGAAGGACAGTGTTAGGTCACCCAACAGGCGTTTTCAAGCGACACACACCGTCCAACACATCCCTTCTCCAGTTCTCACCCCATTGCAGTCCACTCCTGATGCTGCCCAATGACAAATCTGCCAGAGGTTGAAATGCCCTACCTATTAACAATCAGACTGGCCACTTTTGGTTAAGCATCCTTCAGGGATTAGTTAAAGAGTTTAAGATTAGTAAACTCTCCTTCAGATGCACAGCTCTGAACTCCACCAGAAAATGAATTGCTAAAACTAACTTTAAGTACATTCTCATGGACCTCCTACTGAAAGACATAAGAAAAAAGAAAATCCAAGATGAGACTATGGCATTGGTGATTCCCTCCTGCTAGGTAGCAGTAAGGCTGGGAAGGGCACAAGGTAAACACTTTTAGCTTTTCAGAGGTACCAAAGGAAAATTTACGGGGAAGGACCACATCAGCAGAAAAACCCAAATGAAATCTTAAGATCTGGACAAGTTCATTATCAACCAGAACATCGGCCTAACCTCTTCTACATCAAAGCAGCCATGCTCCTGTAACAGGAAGAAACCTGTCATGGCTGCGTATTATCAGAGCCTCTTGCCTACCCTCGTGATAAACAACGGCGGGTGCATAGTTTCTCAGCCCATCGGGGTGCATAAACTGGACTCGGGGAAGAGTGCTGTCTTCTAAACAAACCACATCCACTTCAGGCGGAGCTGGCGGCGTGGTTGCTGCAGCAATGACTCCGGCAAGTGTCTTTTCATGAAATCCCAGCCTAAGGTAGAACAGCTGCTGGCAAAAATACTCGAAACGGTGCTGCTGGCTGGCTCTCAATAAATAGGCTTCGCCGCTCACACATTCAGCCCAATTTAGACACGTGTGAAACCTGTAGGAGAGTTTTTATAGATAAAACCAAAACTTTTACACAGATTTAATTAACAATCTGACTTGTGGTACGAAGCAATCCAGAGATCAACTGCCAGAAATTTAATAAATAAGCAATTAAAAGTCTACCTCTTGCTGACCTCAGGTCATCAATGATTTAGTAAAGACGTCTCATTTCACATCTCTCTCTGTGTTCTTTGAACACAATTTAAATTTGCAGGAAAAGGCGAACCCAGGGGATATTTTATTATGGCTGTAAGAATAACCAACAACTCTCTCGCTCTGTCTCCAATTCTTATCTTTTAAGCTCTAAATTTATTTGAAGAAAACACTGATATCGCAACTGCTATTGCAGACTTGAGGAGAAGACCCTATTATTTTTCAATCTCTCTTTGCTAGGAAAAAAAAAAGAATTTCTGAAATGAGATGAAAAAGAAGACTGACGTACTGTCTGAAGTTATGCATTCAATATGCATAGTAGCTGTTATTACAAATGCTGGGACAATGCATTATATCCTTGACAGGTACAAAATTGTCATGGGTGCTTTGCGATACCCACAGCTAACAGTCTGGAAAAAACTGAGTCTATGAAGTAAAATGAGATTTATCAGATCTCTCCAATATACACATAAGATGGCTTGTGTTCTGTGAACTATTCTTTTAGGTTTATATGTACAGGAAATCTAGGAACTGAAAAGCCCTAAGGGGTCTTTCGACTGTTTGATGAGTGCTTGTCTGAATCAGGTTTGTCTCCCCCAAAGACATTGCATGCTCTGCAAGAACGAGAATCTCATCTAGTTTTGTTCATCACTAATGCCTGTCCCCAGCATCAGGCACAGTGCCTGGCACGTAGGGGTGTTCAATAAAGAGTCATTGAGCAAATGCGTGAATTGATGCATCTCCATTCCAATCTGTTTCCTTCATTTTTCAGTTGGAGAAATTGAGGCCAAGGAAAGCTAAAAAGCTAGTATCACACATATAATAGTAAAATTGGCTCTAGAATGACTGTCTCTTTCCAATTCGTTAATGAGAGCTACCAATTTGTGCGATTTTTTTTCATCATTACATTGCAATTCTAGAAGAAAACCTACCTTAATCAATTTTTGTGAGATAGTAAAACCTTAACCTACCTTCGGTGTATTGCCTTTAACACTTTATCAGGAGTGCTTTGAAGGGAAAATGTGGACACTTACAAGAGCATTTTAGTGCTTGCTTAAGCAGACTGGTTGAAAACTCTTTTCGCTTTCTTTTTAAAATTTTTATTGAAGTATCATTGATATAAACCATCTTATACTGGTTTCAAATATACAACACAGTGTTTCAACAGTTGCGCATGTTACTAAATCCTCACTCCCTGGAGTGCGGTTACTATCTGTCGACATAGGAAGATGTTACAGAATCACTGACTCTATTCTCCATGCTGCACTACCATCCCTGTGACAACTTATACTATGATGGAGAATTTTGGGGCCCCTTTCTTTGAACAGGTGAAAAAGTTGTGAGAGAGACTGAGACTTTGCTGCTTTTATTTATTTTTTAACTGCAAAACTAGAATGCTACCAAAGTTCTTTTAATAGTCAGTGCTTATGGTGATGAATCGTTTTGACTGACGGCAGGGATAATTGTTTGGGTTTTCTTATTCCATTCACATTCCCTTAGACTCTGAACTGGGACCAGTAGCCTTAAAAAGAAGAATCAGTGTCTAGCATAAACTTGGTGCAATAGGCCACATATTTATTTATTCTTCCATATATGTATATATGGAAATATATACATATATATATTCACAGAGGGCAAGTTGCTGCATTCTTATCTGGGTATATACCCAGGCACTTCTGCACCTCAGTTTTCTCATCAGTAAAATGGAATGATAATAGCCCGCAGAGTTTTTGTGAGGAATAATTGAGCAATATATGTAAAATATTTAGAACAGTGTTTGATATACAGTAAACAGTAAGTCAATGTTAGCTTTTTTTATATTGCTTAAACCATTATAAGCAAAATGCTTAAAAAATATAATAATTTGCCTTGCATATTTGTTCCGAAAAGAAGAAGACCAGGTTCCCCTCTCCCCCAAAATGTGAGTGAGTGCTTAATAATACTGCATGGGGACCACCCTACCCCCACTACTTGCTGTACTTCTGGTGGTATTAATACCACCTTCGTTCCAGTGTAGGCATGTGATGCACTTGGGCAGATGAATCAGAATGTTCCATACACCCTGCCACCATGATTACTCCAGTGACAGGCATGGGGCTTACTCAGAGCCAAAGAGATGTGACTTGAGGATGTTGGTTGAAGTCAGTGGGGATATAATACTGTCTGAGCCACTGAATTCACAAATATCTGAAGCTAGCTCTACCCTGGACATGCCATCCATGGGGACAATGAATTACTTCTCACAATGCAATTAATTTACACTTAGTTTTTTGTTATCTGTTGTCAGAAGACATACGGAGTTATATAGAAGGGTTGTCTGGGAAGATACCACACAAAAGAGAGGCAAAATAATGTGGTGCTTAAGTGCACAGACTCTGAAACCAACTGCCCGGATACAAATCCTGGCCCTACTGATTAGCAACCGTGTGACTCTGGACAAGTCATTTACTTTGTGTCTCCATGGTCTCCTCTCAAAACCGAAGATAGTAATAGTATTCACCTTACTTAGGGATGATTGGAGGATTAAGTTAAGATATGTATGATACTTAGAACAACGCATAGCACATAACAGCTTCAGATGTGATGAAAGCTTTGATTATTTTATCATTATTCAGATAGCAAATAAATGGTGATATAGTGTAACAAACAAAAGGTAGAGAAAATGGCTCTTATGTTTCTGTATACAGAAAAAGCAACTGATGAATTAAAAGTGCCTCTTTGTAGCAAAGGACTTAAATACACATTTCTCCAAAGACGTACAGCTGGACAACAAGCATATGAAAATATGCTCAACATCACTAATAATTACAAATATACAAGTTAAAACCACAAGATATTATCTCATACCCAGTAGAATAGCTATTATAAAAATAAAAGTAAAAAAAAAACCTGTGGATACTGGTTCAAGTCTTGATTCATTCATTCATTTATTTGTTATCATTTATCAGACATTTCCCTAGCACCGTCCATTTTCCAGGCACTGTTCTTTTTCCTCTGTGAACAACACAGTCCTGCCCTTGTGGCACCTGTTCCTCCTGGGATGGGACAGCAATATGGACTTTCTAGTTCTAGTTGGATGTGTGGCATCAGACAAACCCTGTAAGTTTGCTAGGTCTTAATTTTTTCAACTGTAAAATGAAACACTTGTGTCAAGGGGGACAAAGGGGTATTTTCCTTCTTACATTCCAGAAGATTTGAAAAGTAAATGTAATATGCGGTGAGAACATAAAAAGCCACTAGGGGGCAAGATGAGCGTGGCATAAACATTCTACTAATGTGAAATTCCAGGAACAACAAAAAGGAGCCACTTTTCACATCACAAACAAAATAAGCGAACAGCAAATATTGTGTGTCATTGTAAACTGGGAAAGAGCTCTGCAGAATAGTTATCCGTGCTTTATCCTATGAATAAAATATTTGATTTAGCAATCACGTTTTTCTAAAGAAAAATGGCAATGGCATGTAAGCAGCAGAATCCTTGTTAGTAATTCACTGGCTAAACGCATCTAAGAGTAAGACCGTGTCTACAGAACTACATCGACCAACATATTCAGGTCTCGAAGTAGCCCTTTACTCACACGTTAGGATCTAAAACATATTTAGAATTCTTTCTTTTACTTCGTCATTTCGTTGTTGCTACTAATGAGTATCTGTCTGATTACAAAAGAAAACATATGCTATCTTTTCCACTTGTATACCATCGGAAAGTGGCAGTTTTAAAACATTTCACAAAATCTTTGACAGTCTTCTATCAAAAGTTGAAGCCTCATTCTCTTTTCCTTGAACATGGACTGGCTTTGCTGACTTGCTTCTAGCCTATTAGAATGTATCAGAAGCAATGCAGTTTGACTTCTGAGGATGGTGAAGAAATGGTGATATACTTCCTGGCTAACTCTCTCTTCTTTCCCTGAGGATGCGCCTCCTCAGCTTTCAGCCACTGCATTGTGAGGAAGCCTGTGCCATAAGGAGAGGCCATGTGTAGGTGTTGTTCTGGATGGGAGCTCCAGCTAAGTCCCAGCCTGCAGCTAGCATCAATAGATACATGAACGAATAAGCTTTCAGTTCATTCCCATACCCAGGCTTTGAGCCCCCTAGCTGAAACTGTGTGGAATAGAGATGAACTCTCCTTGCCAAGCCTTGCCCAAATTAGATTGGGGATGAAAATTAATGTCATTTTAAGCCACCATGTTTTGAGGAGTTTTTTTAACAAAGCAATAGATATCTGGAACAGGGGAAAATTGTCTCTGGGAATATGGCAGAAGAATTTAGGAAAATAAACTGCCAAGGAATTAGATTAGTGCTCCTGTGAATTCCCACTGGCATGGAGTCACTCACTCTTGCCCTGAAAAAATAAAGATTCTTGAGATAAGCTGACCTCAGTGTCTAATTCCATGTGCACTAATGGCTCAGGATTCTGGAATGTTAGAGAAAGATAAAGCCTTCTTGTTTAGGGGCGTCATTGTCACTGACATCCATTGGCAGGTTGCTACAAACATTCTGCCAGGCAGCAGGTCTGCAAATGAGAGCCTTTTCTTCGTCCAGATCTTGCAGTTCACAAACAAGGCACGGTGAGCCTGGCTGTGCAGAAACCCCACAGTGACCCCATCAAGCTGGAGGCCCAGGAACAGGAGCATCGCTGCAGGAAATGACTGAAGATGGCTAGCTTGCAGCCAGTGTGCAAGGGAGTTGGGAGAACAGGGCTTCTTCAAGCTTAGAGGACCAAGAGGCAGACAGGACACAGTCTGTCTATAGTGACTGGCACATGGTAGATTCTCAGTAAATAATTGTTAAATACATGACTAAAACCCACAAACATTATTCTATGCCTAGAGTTGGGACACAAAGTAAATACAGCATGACTGCTATCCCAATAGAGCTTCTAATGTAATTAAATGGTTACAATTATTCACTTTTTTTTTTTACCATTTCTTCTTTGTCATTTGAAAATCACAGAAAAGATACAATGGAGAATCTGACACTAGTCATGGTGAAACCGATCAAATCCCTTGTTCTCACCTTCTAGTCACCCTATTGGCAGAGGGGGGACTGGCTGAACATGATGACACTCTCTGCTGGACACCCGAGACTGGCAGCGGTTTATTAATCACGTTTATTCACAGCCCCTGTGATGGAGATGCAGCAAGCCATGCAGGGCCACATGGGGGCTGCAGCCGGGAACGGAGTGAAACAGCAGGGACCTGGGAGACAGGCTTCGTAGTATCAAGAGGGTGAGGTGGTGCGAATATGGTTTGTTTGAATGATTTCACCACTTTGTAGGAAGGTAAAGCCAATTGGACTGAGGACCAGGTGGGGTGTAGCTAGTGTGGCTGACAGAGGAACCAGCCAGGTGCGGAGGTCCCACGGCAGGGCTCACACCTGCAAGTGCAGAGGAAGCCATGGCTAGGCTTTGGGGACC